TTGGTTTAAGGATCTTGTCCTACTCATTGACTGTGTCCGCTTGGCAAACAGCAAGATAATTATCTCTACCTTGCCTGACTGATCCATATTCATGGCAGCTTTTATAGTTGAGGCAACTCTGAGGAGTTTGCTCAGTCCGGTGCTTCACATGAAATACTTTGCATCGTGGGCCAGATTTAGGATCTTTAATTGCCTAAAGAAATATCCTCATTTTCACATGAATAAAAGTTCAATCTTTGTCCAACTTCAGAGAGAAGAAAAAAAAAAAACACTTCTAAAAAAATGGTGCCCTCTGAAAGCAAACCTTTCTAGTAGGCATGACAAACTGTCCTGCACAGAATATCGAGACCATTTCATGGCTTCACAAAACCAGAGAAACATACCCTCTCCCAAGCATCTTATAAAATTAGGCCCACGTTTTTGAATCTCACCCACTCCAGTAATCCTGTTGCCTTCTGAGGTTCTACCACATGAGCAAGATAAGTGAATTCATGCTCTAATTTTAGACTTAATGCAATTTTCTGAGAAGACTGCAAATGGAAAAGGATTACTATTGGTAGTGGGAGCAAATTGATGATAGTGTTACTGAAAATTGGTCATAGAAGGCAAACAATCCTTATACATGCCCCCTCATCAGGGATTAATAACCATAACCTTGCCAGGCTCCAAAGGATTTAACTGTGCTTGAAAGCAAGACGCCTTGTTGGCTGCAAACAGGAGAAGCAGGTGGTTGATGCCAATATCACGCACGCACACCCCTCCCACCCACAAAGGGTTAAATTGCTATATGCAGCTACTAAGTATGTGTGTGAAAATTTCAAAAGCCTGAGAGTTAGCCATCTGGCTCCTGCTCCTATGGGGTATTTAGGGATGAAAAGGGAAACTGGAAAGGTAAATAGTGTATTGCCTGATGTGTTGATTTTCAGCTGAGATTTCTCTCTTCAGTGCCTCGTCATATTTGTCCGTCTAAATGAGGGGGATTGACCGTGTCTTCCCTAAAAGAAGGGGGAAAAAAAACAGCATTCAAGCTCTGGGAGAGCTGTGCAAAGCATCACACTGCCTAATCTAACAGCTGAGGCAAATTTATTCTGGTCTGGATCCAGAAAAAGGACTTAGCCTTGCAGTGTCTTCGCTTGTGTGTGCTGATGGCCAGGCAAATTTTCACACCCTGGGGCTCCATGTAAAACATGCAGGCAGGGTTAGCTACCTTAGACTGAGATTCGAAAAAAGAGCCCAAGATCTGGGACAAACAACACGATGACTGGGAAGGGTCAGGCTTCAGTTTGAACTGGGAAGAGAATACTTTCCTAGCTTTAAGTGTGTACACCAAACCAGCTTTTGTTTAGTTTTGTTTTCTTTAAAAAAAATTTCCTCTGTGTTGTGATAGAAAGAAAGAGATGGGGGGTAAAGAGAGATGCTGCTCTGCTGGTAGCTCACTGGTTTGTCACCTGGGCCAATGTCTGTCTCATCTGGGGGGCCAGGCCTGGACACATCCCAGTCGTGCCCTCACAGCCCACTGTGCTGGAAGGTCTCCAGCCTGTAATTGTGGGTGTCCTTCATATGATTTTATTCATTATGACTCTTTGCTTCTATGATATAGTGTGTGTCTCTTACTCCACCTGTAGGAGACTGAGACTCAAATCTCCTTAAGTCAATCTTTGTCTATGAACAGAAGAAAAAGCTGGTCCAAGGTATGAACCAAAAGTGTGTGACTCTTAGTGGGCCAGTTAGCTCAGTAGGGGGCTGGTTAGCTCAGTCAGTTGAGCGTAGTGCTAACAACGCTAAGGTTGCGGGTTCAATTCCCGCTCCTATGTGTTGCCTGATCTCGTTGCGAGGTGGCATACCTGGGGACAGGGAAGCTGGGCTAAAATGAAGTCTAAGGTCCCTTCCAGCTTAGTCCATTCTATGATTCTATGATTCATTATGCTAACCGCCCAAATCAGGTCCATTCACAGCTCTCTGTTTACTTTTCTGCCTGCCACAACACTTTCCAGTTGGAGCCCTCAACACAAGAAGGACATGGACCTGTCAGAGCAGGTCCAGAGGAGAGCCACGAAAATAATCAGAGGGCTGGAGCCCCTTGCTGAGAGAGTTGGGGTTGTTCAGGCTGGAAATGAGAAGGCTCCAGGGAGACCTTATAGCAGCCTTCCAGTACCTGAAGGCGGCTACAGGAAAATTGGAGAGGGACTGTTTACAAGGGTGTTTAGCGACAGGAAAAGAGGCAATGGTTTTAAGCCAGAGCAGGGTAGATTTAGCTTAGACATTAGAAAGAATTTCTTTACAATGAGAGTAGTGAAATAGTGGAACAGGTTGTCCAGAGAGGTGCTGGAGGAGGCTCCATCCCTGGAGGCATTCAAGGTCAGGCTTGATGGGGTTCTGAGCCACCTGATGTAGCTGAAGATGTCCCTGCCCACTGCAGGGGGGTTGGACTAGATGACCTTTAAACCCAATGACCTTCTAACCCAATGCATTCTGTGCTTCTATGATTCTAAGTTCATGTAGCAGCTTGCTCCGTGAGTCCCTATCCCTGTGACTTGGTAAAAGCTAAACAACTCTTTCATGTCTAGCTTAAAAATAAGCTGTGCCTTGAAGTCATCTATTTATGCCTTTTTGGTTGTAGTTTTATTGAAAAAGCTGGTATTAACATATTTTTATTCAACAACAGTTAGCTAATTTGTGCAACACAAAGAATGCAGCCATGAACAACAGCTTTCAAAACAACCAGATTTACCAATTTTACCATCACTTACTCTACACCACTGAAAGCTCAAACTAAAAAGAGAAAGAAAGTTGGAAACGTTCACAATGAAGATGTTAACTTTCCATACATTCAAGAAACCAGGAAACCGATCTGTAGTAGTGATGTCAAACACAGGAACGGAATACTGGTCTTTGAAAGGTTTCGATTTATTTCCTCTATAATCACTTCATGGTATTTTGGTTGGGTATTTAATTAGTTTTATAAAGCTCCAAAGATATAATTCTTTATTTAATTTTAACATGTTCTTTTTGGTACCCAAAGCTGTAACAGAGTAAGGTACTTCAAATTTAAAACAAAAAAATTGTTGTATTAAGATCTGCTTTATAATAAGTTATCTATAGAATCTTACTTGAGAATGTTAAAAGCTAAATATATGTTTTACAGTACTTCTAGCTGTAATTGCCAATATGAGCTGAGAGCATTATTTTGTTTTATTTTTTTGAGCAACAAAGGTTAATGGAGGAGGCCAAAATTCAAAGAAATTGCATGACACTCTTGAAGCAGTAGTTTGGCATTAACAAGTTTTCTATACAATTTACCACATTCTTAAACCTTTTTACAAGGTGGGGGAAAAAAAAAACCAATTTGTTGAATTTCATTAGAATAAATATGTACATATACTGTCCATGCCTGCTACAGCATACAGTATTTTATAAACAAACATTCGTCATTCCCTTTTAAATTAACCTACACATTTCATTCCGTATGTGTTTAGTGTGGCTGGAAACTGATGCACATGCGTTTGTGCTTCTACACACAAAATATACAGCACTGATCTAGAAAACTTCAAACATACAGATTTCATGTGTCGTGTTAAGATATCATATAAAAGCTGCAGACTTGGGGATTTTTTAGTTCTTATAAGCAGATTTTCACTCACCTTTCCCCAAACCAAAATATAAAAGCATGCATACCCCTTCATCAGTACATTCTCTACTTACCAAGAAATCAGTGCATAATAGCTTAAAGATGTTTTTTAAGACTTTTTTTTTTCTGAGGAGTTTTAGTGTGGGCAAATTAACAAGTCATCTGAGTTTTGCTCTTCTAATCATGGTTTGAGGAAACATCCTTTGGGATATTAATTTTTCTGACAGAGATACTAGGGATGCAGCAGTACTTTCTCTTCCTGGATTAAGATGACTCCCTGCACCATTCCCATATAATTCCTGTATGCGATAAACCAACTGTGTGTACCTTCCTTTGCCATTTACACAACTATTCATTTTAAAACAGAGATAGATTGAACAGTATTTATGTGGAAGAAGGTTTTGCTTGGTTTGGAGGTTTATATTTTTCATATTTCTCCAGGAATAATTTTGTCTCCCATCAGTGGACTCATTTAAAAGCACTGAAATTGACTGAGCAGTGCTGCATCTTGCAGCACCATTCTTTTAACAGTTACAGATACCAAGGCATTGGCTGTGTACCCCGAAAGCCACGATTAAAATAACCGTGCTGCAATCAACAAACGAGGGACTTTCTGAAGTGTCCAGCAGTGATGTAATTTTGTTCCCACTGAAGTCCATCATTGCCTTCAAGAATAGCACTTCTAGACATGGTTTGCCGAACTCCAACCACCTCCCAAATGGCAGGACAGGTTTGTGTGTTATTTGCCAGGCTGTGTCTGACCAGCTAGTCCCTCTGCAGTGGCAATATCAAGGGATTTTTTTAATAGTCCTCCATGTGACGAAGATACTAGTTATTGTTTTAAATGGAGCAAAGATATCTATGGAGATTAAACTTCTTAAAACAAGCTGGCTGAGTAACTATATCAGTCTGTCACTTATTCACTCAGGAAGTTGAAGCCGTAACTAATTTGAATAAATAAATAAATAAGAGGGTGTAGTAAAGAAGGGAATGGGATGAGTGGGACAGGGCAGCTCGTCACGAGCAGGGATTCTGCTTCCAGTTCTAGCTGTCATGAGGCCCCTCCAACATGCCACATGCTCTAAAGGGATGTGGCTACTCATTCACTCAAGACAGGTCTGGCTTGGTTGAAAGACAGGAAAACGTTACTGATAAACAAATAATCAAGAGATCAAGGCAAAAAGCTCTAGCAATGTGGTAAATCCCGTGGACTGCAAAAGCAGGCAGGGCACCAGAACAGCATGGTCCTGTGAACCACTGAGACCCTTGGAAGGACTGACAGGAGTTGAGGAGTCTCAGCCCTCCTCAGGAGCACTCCCAAAGTGAATAAATACCTCTGTTTGTTTAAAGGAACCGATACAGACCACAGTACTGGATTTGCAGTCGTGCCTTTTACTCATACAGTTGCAGTGATGGAAAATAGTTGGCTTGCCACCAATAATGATACAGGCTGAGGGGTGAAGGATGCAACCTACAAATCCCACCACAGAAGCCACAAGTTTTGTGAAGATCACATCCTTCTACAACTCTCAAGAGGCTGGTTTGTAAATATAGAGGGATATTGATAAATCTAGTGCATTTCTGAGTTCACTTTATCCTGAAATATGTACAGATTGTTTGTCGCTGCTATAGCAATGATGTTCTCAGTTGGGTGCCACGCTGTGTGCAAGATCTTCTTAGTAAAGTCCAAACTGTCAACGCTGATGTCATCTTTCCTCCGTTTGCCTCCAACGCAGACTCTCCGGGGCTTAAGAATAGCTCGTGGTTTACTGCTCTCTCGGGATGCCTCCAAGGTAACATCCCGTTTGGTATTTCGGTCAAACATTCGAAAAAAGTTGTTATATGCACCTGTCATTATCACACTGTAGAGAGAGAAACAGGGAAAAAAAAAGAGAAAATGAAGATGGTTAAACAGCATCTTGTGAGAAGTCTACTAATATGACTGGATCTGGACAGCTGAGCTTTAAACTTAGGATAAGATGCCTTCTGGTTTCAGCTGGGAAAGAGCATAAACCAGGATTTTTCCTAGTGCACCCCAGAGTGGATAGTTTTCTTCTGCCAATGTCTTTCCCTTCACTATTCAATGAAAAGAACAGTTACATCAAAACTTGCATCCTGAGGCACACACAAATGTCAAGACCCTGACATCATGAGATTGACTTCACAAGGCAAAGGAAGATGTTTTAATAACTCACTTTTAATTGCCCTCCAACTTTCTATGAGCATTTAAGAATTATATATTTCAGGATCTTTTCTTTCTCCAGGGCTTTACCATGATTCCAGAATCAGGCTTTAAAAAAAAAAAAAAATCCATTTTGATGTAATAGTGAGATTTAGTAATATTGAGCACATAATTACATATTTTAATGAGTATTTTGAAGAAATGTGTTTAGAAAGGTTCTGAAAAACCATACTGAGTTTGTACAGACAAACTCTTTCTAGAATAAACCCTTTTCCCTTCTGAAGCCATAGACCTTGCAAGTCTAGACACCATTAAAATTTGTATCTACAGGGTTTCTTAGAAACAAACACATTGATAAACAGGATTCTGTAATCTTTTGTATGAAGTTTGAACAAAGCTTCCTGTCAGGATATATTTCTGTGTCTGGGAGAAAGGAAGAGAAAACACACCTCGATCTGTATAAAAATTACTCCATTAATCAGCTTGTAGTTTGAAATAATGGATTGCTGTTTGCTTCATTCCCCTAGTCCCTAGGGGAGGATATTTTGTCACTAACTTTAATGAATTCAGGATTTTGTCTATGGCCCTCAGGTTATTGGATTAGCATAATCATGGGTTTCAGAGCCTTGTTCGAAAGCTCATCCCCTGTGAACATTTTCCATATATGACGCCAGGGCCACGCTCTACTTTCCTGTTGCAGCCCCAAATAGGGTGTTTGTTTCTGAATTTCCATTTCGGAAGTGAAACCTACCCCAAACTGTCAAATCTCCACAGAAAAAGCTGCACATTGCGAAGGCTGAGGCAATTGGTAACTATTTGCCTTTCTAGTGCAGCCCAGCAGAGTGTCTTTCACATGCTCTGCAATTAATAAACTAACGTCCATCTCAAGTGACAGTTGCTTTAGCACTTGCTGTTGTTTCCCATTTGGGGGGAATCTGCCAGGGAGACCACGACATATGCAACTGTGGGAGAATTCAAAGGCATAAACTGTACTCTCCACCGTACAGATGCTCACTAGCTGATTAGATTAGATGCTCCTGGATTCAGGAGCTGTCTTGGGCTACGTGCATGGCTTCCAGCCACTGTTGCCTTCATCTCATTTGGGGCCATTAGGAGCTAGTGTAATACAAATGAATAATACACTGAAAAATGCACAAATGGGAGCTCTGTGGCTAACTGCTTCTGTGCTACGGCTACCAACTGACAGCAGCTCTCCTTGCTTCAGAGCCACCGCCGGGTAGCGGGAGTGAGTGAGCTGGATTTGTGTGCTGTGAATCACTGGCAGGACTGCCAGCTCCATCCTGCTGCCACGTTTGCTGATGGCGTGCTGGAGTTTGATGACAGCTGATCCCACATTGAGCTTTTTGCAGCTCTTGGAGCACTAAAGGAAACTGCTGTGAATCAGACAAGGCATAGCACAGAGGCCGAGGAAGCGCTGCCCTCAGCGAGAGCTCACCTACAGCCTTTGCCCTCTCAAGAGGCTGCTCTCCAGAAGCAGCACCCACTCCTGGGTGGTCTGCGGTGAAGTTCCTTTCACCCTCCCCATCACAAAGGCCTGGCACAACCCTGCTTAGTAAGGCACAAGTTAACAAGCTCACCAGCTAAAAAAAAAACCACAAAAGAGCGTGACAGCTTGATAAAATGTATCCCAGAAGCTGCAGAAAGCCTATTGATCAAGATTAGTGCCCATTTCAGAAATTGAATCAACAGCAGTAAACCTAATATTTCACTCCTTCCAAATCACCATGTCTTGTCATTACTGCTCCTGCCGTAATGGTTATTCACAACACGAAAAAGTCGAGGTTATTTCATATCTCAGCGCTAACATACACAACTTGCGATGCAAACAGGCCAGCTGTGCTTTGCGCTGTTGTTGGGTTTTTTTTGCCAGTACTGTAGGGTATTTTTCCCCTCGAGGCAAAATTTTGAAACGGGTTCCTAACACTGGGGGACCCTGTGCCATGGGCTGCAGAGCTGCAGGGAGATGAGGAACAACCCTCCTGATGGGGGCAGGAACTCTCAGGGGAACCGTTTCCATGCAGGCAGAGAACCAGTGCACAGAGAGGTGTTTGTCAAGATCTTATTTTAGGAGGTTTTGCTTGCAATAAAACTGCCTTTACAGTCCATTTGCTTTTTAATTTCATGACCTCTTGCATATCTTTAAAATCTGCTTTCTTCAGTTGGATTTACTACAGCTAATTTTTTTACCATATGTAGATGACTACTTTTTATGCTGGCCCTGTTTTTCTGCAGTTTAATAGCTCAGTAAAAAATAGCATTATGTAAATGAGAAGCACCCATTCTTGTTCAAGGTCACAAACACATATGGATTACAATCTTACCTGCTGCTTAAAATAACAATAAAAGAGAATGTGAACTAGATGTAAGCCTGAAATTTATTCCTGTTCAGGAAAATGTAATGAACAATAAAGGAAGGTATGTGACAAGGAGAATTTTATATATATATGTATGTATGTATGTATGTCTGTATGTATGTATTAGAATACAAATTGTAGCTGAGTATAGGAAGAGTGTGTTCTCTATTTCCAGATGCTGCTCTGCACAACAGTGTTATGATCAACGCTTGCACAAAACCCCTGCAAGTGAGGATAAAGAAACCAAACAAAGCCCCTCACCCAAAACACGTCACACTAATTCACAGGTGTGTCAAGGAGCAGCCTGGGAAAGCTCTGCCTACCCACCTGTAATTTTATTTAGAAAGCAGATTTACTAGCTGTGCTACACACAGTCAGAGGCACCAATATCTCAGCTGTGCAGGGGTATTTAAGACACAGAACACACCTCAAGCCTGAGGAGCAGGGTGTTGATAGCTCGGGCTGGAGCAAAGCTGCTCATAGACTGCATCCAGCTCAAACCACCACAGCTACAGTCAGTAAAATACAAAAAAAAATTTAAAATGGCAAAAGAAGCAGAAAAAGATTGAATGGCATGGCCACTGCTGCCTACCCTTCATGCATTGGCAGCTTAGCCTGCGCTCTAGAAGGAGAGGCAACCCTCCGTACCTACAGGGCCCCAAATGCTTTTGTGCAGCTCCACGCCAACCCTCCTGCGCAGCCCGTGGGGGGAACACACTTTCCTCTCAGCACAGTCCTGCTCTGCAGAGCCCATGGAGGACTCCATGTTCCCTCTTCTAGAGCTGCTCCAAGCAAGGTCTGAGGGTTTCTGGCAATTCTTCAGGTATGAGCGTTTTGAGTGACAACACAAAATGCTACTGATGCATCCAGCCTGCACTGGGGCATTCTCGCTTATTAATGGCACGATCTGAGGCATCTCACTGCCAAACTTCAGTCCTCATGCAGGGTCACTATGGCACAAAGACTTATCCTTTTTTTCCTTTACAAGCAGGACAAATGTTTTTTTAAAGAAGGTAAAAAAGGGAAGGAGAAAAGCTCAAGGGCATCTGAATAGTATTTCATCATTTGTACTAAACTGCGTTGAGATCTTCCACAATAATTTTTAATATACCCTTGTCTTTCTCATATCTGTTATTTCCATACTTCTCTCAGATTTCCTTACTGCAAGCCAAGCTCTTAAATGTCACCCATGTTGCAGCCACCCTAGCACACAACAGCCTTGGTCAAAATGGTACCATCCAGCTGCCTCCCTGGATGTCAGGGTTTGCCCTGAAGCTCTGGAGTTATCAGCTGCAATTAAGGCTTGCTTAAAAAACAAACCATACCTGCTTCACACTGATCCATGTTGGTTTTGTTGTTGCTGAGATTTTTCTAAGACCCTTTTATAATATTTTTTTGGTCTAGCTCTGGCCCAGATTAGTCTTCTCAGATGCACAGAAATTCTTACTGCAAATTTCTATTGTCTAGAGCAATTCAGCTCATGTCATACTTTCCCTCCTTCACTGTTGCTCAAAAGACCAAGGAAGCCATGGGCTAGTGTGACAGACTAAGGCTGGGAGGGTCTTCAAGGACCAGCAAACACCAGGCTTAAGGATGACAGAAAAACTACATCAGCCCAGCTAACCTGCCCCTCACCACAAATGTGGCAGCAGAACATCATTCCCTGAGCCTGGAGAGGCAGGACATGGAATCCAAACAGGTGTGACGGGAGGAGACTCAGAGAGCAGCTTCCACCAAAGCCTTCCTCCAGACTTATAAATCTCTGCAAAGGAGTCCCTCAAGGCACCAGCATGAAAAGGGACCATTTCTTTGATGTGAAACTGTCTCCCCAGTTATATTTTGAGCCCCTAGATTTGCAAGATTTCACTACCGTGTGTACCAGTGCACAGCAGGACATTTGCAGTCTCCTGGGATTGACACGCAAGGTCTACCAGATAAGGTTTCATGACAAGCTGACCTTACCAGAAAATAGGAATTAAAAATGAGGTTTATTACAACTCAGTGAAAGGAGGAAGAACTGTTGCAAGTAGTGGGGGCCTGATGGCATATGGGCGATTTTTCCTTTATGCTGCACTGTGTGAAACAACTGACTCCCCATCACAAAGAAGGAACTTCTTCAAACCTCCTGGGGAGTTCGCTGATAGAAAACTTGAGACATCAGATTCAGGATTGTGGTACTCTGATACAGCTGGCTGGGATAAAACTGAGCATAAAAACAGGGGATCCCTAAGTCCTTCCAAGCTAATATTTGACATGCCGAGCCTTGAGAACAAAATGATGTCTTCTAGCTCTCCATCATGGAGCATGCTGCCAGACAGGAACAGACCGTTAACATCTCCTTCACCGGGACCTGCCAATTCTGCCTGATTAGAGTGAAGGCTGACAGATATTCAGTGGGATGAATGACAGTTGAGCCGGCAAGCA